GACCCTGTCCTGGGCCAACAAAATCCAGTCTCCTTCAACTCCTATCTCCCATAGATCCCACCTGAGATTATCCTCCCATCTACGTCTAGGTCTCCCCAGAGGTCTCTTCCCCTAGGCTTCCCGACCAATATCTGGTGCCCAGCTCTTGCCCCATCCATGCGTGCCACATGCCCCGCCAATCTAATTCTTCTTGACCTAAGCACCCTGACAATATTGTGGGAGGAGTATGTAGTAAAGAGTAGCTAACAAATAGGAACTTCCCTTATTATGAAGCCTCATGTCACTTTATTTTGGTGTACATCTGTGCCTTTAGATGTTGTGTTTAGTAATTGACGAATAATTTTTGCTTCTCAAATTTCACTAACCTCCGGAAATTACGTGGCTGTAATCTCATTTTAATTCAGTAATCAACGAATAGTGTCATATCACTTTGAGCTGTTTGTTTGTTGTCTAGTGGGGACTGTGGTGTACACCCCTGGTACAAATGAACCAGGCCACATGCAGACGCAGAACTAGCGCCAACGAGCTCTCTTTGTCACACGTACAACAAAGTGAGGCAACGAGATTGTCATCAGGTAATTATTTAATTATTAATGACTAATGAAACTGTCAGAGTTTCTTGTGCAAACTTCACAGCGCCTACCCCACAAAACGTGCTTTGTGTATGGCATTATATTACACTGTTTATCCGCGTAGCTCGTTCTTAGATTGATGTTCGTTCTCGTCTGGTGACAGAAGATAGGAATTCATTTTGAAATGCAGTTATTGCTGCCAATATCCTAATCCAGTTAGCCCCTTGTCTGTCCTACAGCCGCATCGTTCGTAAATAGTTTTCAGCATACCTCAGAATTGCAAGACAAGTTCATAAATTGCATTTGATGTTCTTTGCACAAAGTAATAGAGTGTTTAAAGAGTTTCCCGCTTCAGAGCCACCTAACCACCATACGGATTTCTACGAAATTTTAACTGCAAATTTCTCTGTGATCTATATTTTAAACTGTTAACGAAGCAAAGATTGAACTCGTATCAAATTGAACAAGTTAGGAAATTAGAAGCAGTTTAACAGTTCTCGTGCCTTCACCATAATTTGTTCCTTGATATCTGCGACTTTCCGGGAAAGTTTTCGGCCGGGAGCTCCCCACGAACTCACTCACTTCCTGCCGAGTGGGTACTTGGGTTATTCAGCCGGAGCCGGAAACTGCACACTCACCTCCATCTACTGCTGAAGTCGAGAATGGATGGAGTTTTACCTCCAATCCCCATACGGTTTCATAGTTCGGTTCTTAATTAAACACGAAGACAAGTTCGGGGTGTGATTATTTTAACATAATCAGCTCTGTTATCGAATAAAATATGTTTGGTACAATGTCTAGCCTTGTCTTGAAAACGATTATGAAATTCTCACAATATATTCACTTATAATTCTCAAAAATTTTCCGTTTTCAGGAAATTTTGTGTGTGTTCGCGTTTACGTAACATTGACACTGCACCCACTCGTCGTATCTGAATGCGTCTAGAAGATCACCGTAGGTCAACATTTTCGCTACAGAAAGGAATGTTTTCCCAATTTGTATTATTTTATGTAGCCACACAGCCTTCTTCTTGTTAATGTTTCTGTATATAAATTATCTGAGATATATTTATATGACATTTTAAATTCTCCCATATTTTTGCACCAAATAACATATTTCTCAAAGCAAAGTAACGTAAAGTAAAATAAGAGCAAATGAATATAATTCTGTACATGAAAATTGCACTGGTACGAAACTTTGTATTGCACGATATTGTTTTTTGTTGTTGTTGTTGTTGCTATGTGTGCTTCTGGCGTTGAATGGCAATGAAGAGTGGGAAGAAACCAGACCGAAATTACAAAGGAAAATAACAGAAACGTAATAAATCCTGAAGTTTCCAATGTTAAATTATATTCTGTGATAAGAGAGAAGAGGTAAAGTTCTCTTTGCGGTATATTAAACACCACGCCTTAATGACCTACTTATTTTTGTGCTCAGATAACACACCAGGTTATGAAGACGCAAACCCTTAGAGCTCAGTGGTAACTACATATACCACATGCTGTTACAGTCAGTAAGTCTGTATTTTGTATGTGAATTTCATATTATCCTTACAATAAACTTAGATTATTACCTTAAGCAGCAGCTGATCCTAGTAATGGTGAAGCGTTGTGTTTACTTTGCGGTACGGGCTGGATTATTAAGGATTATAAAGCCGAAGTTCGGCTTCACACGGTTCATCTACTGCAATGCTATAAAAAGTATGGGGGAAGTGGATTGTATTTTTAACCACGGCCCAAGATGACTGTTAGTGGCCAGCATCACGCTTCGGCAACTTTACCGTCTTACGGGAAAGCCCTGGTGTAGACCACAGCATAGGCTAAGGTATCCGGGCCTTTTATGTCCTTTGGAGTACAGAAATTCGAAGAGTAAAATTTTTCTCGGTGGTCGCTCCCTTCCCCCACCTTCCCACCAGCACCCAGAGGACACTTTGGTATTCATAACGGAGAACACACGTGACCGCTTCGGTTGTTATTCCGCTTAGCTCTGGGCCGTCGGGTCTCAGGAGGTCCACAGCAATGCGTCTGTGTGTTATCTGGTTTAGTTCTAACTGCGATGTGATGACATCCCGGGTACCCTCGGTTTCGGTGCTACGAGGCCGGAGAGTTCGGTGACAAGGGTTGGCACACCGTGGACGCTGAACGATCTTCTAGTTATTGGGTATTTAAAAAAAACTGTACGAAGTGTGGATGAGGAGTAAATATGTATAGCAAGGAGAGAGGATTGTTTTATCGCTGATTCATGGGCGGTTGTTTTGTTGACAGGGACTCAACCCGCTGTAGATACGTGTTTGTGGCAGAACTGATAAATTATGATAATCGGATGTGATTGTGCTTTATGAGCGCAGCGTGTATGGGCATCACGAAATTGTTAGCTGGAATTTTCCCTTTTAATTATTAGCTGATATGACGCACTTTAAGTTGGACAGATGGAATCTTACGGGGAAAGGCTCGTAAACTATTAGCCGTAGTACTTGGTGGGGGCGTGTGTCAGAGCACTGACATGCCTAGAATACTGGCGTCGAGTATGAAGAAGATTGAACATCAGAAAAAGCAGTTGTGTATCTGTATGAGAGCCGCATAGTTTACAGTGACCTTTGAATAAAATCGAGACCTCCTGCTACAGTTCTTGCCATTCAAGAAACTACACGGGGCAGACTCCTTTAGAAGCCGATAGTCGCTGAGCTATTCAAGAAATTCCTCGCTCTTTACCACAGTGATATCTTATATTTCTGTGTTAAATTTTCCTACGTGAACGTTGGCGATAGCTCACAATTCCGTTCCATCTGACCACATATATAAAATGTGCCTCATCATTTGTATTTCTGTCGTAATCACCAAATGTTCACCTTTAATCGGTTCAGAACTTTAGCATTTTCATAAAAGTATTTAAAAATTAAAATGTACGGAATTTCAATGTTGCCTTTTGTTCAGTGTGTCCGTCGCCTTAGTAGAATAACAGAGATTTAATAAGTTTGGAAACGTGATGTTATACTGCGTTCAAGCCTGTCTTGTCCGCTGAACAATGTTAATTGGAACCTCGGAGCGAGTCACTTACCAGAGCTGTAGATACGTGTTTGTGGCAGAACTGATAAATTATGATAATCGGATGTGATTGTGCTTTATGAGCGCAGCGTGTATGGGCATCACGAAATTGTTAGCTGGAATTTTCCCTTTTAATTATTAGCTGATATGACGCACTTTAAGTTGGACAGATGGAATCTTACGGGGAAAGGCTCGTAAACTATTAGCCGTAGTACTTGGTGGGGGCGTGTGTCAGAGCACTGACATGCCTAGAATACTGGCGTCGAGTATGAAGAAGATTGAACATCAGAAAAAGCAGTTGTGTATCTGTATGAGAGCCGCATAGTTTACAGTGACCTTTGAATAAAATCGAGACCTCCTGCTACAGTTCTTGCCATTCAAGAAACTACACGGGGCAGACTCCTTTAGAAGCCGATAGTCGCTGAGCTATTCAAGAAATTCCTCGCTCTTTACCACAGTGATATCTTATATTTCTGTGTTAAATTTTCCTACGTGAACGTTGGCGATAGCTCACAATTCCGTTCCATCTGACCACATATATAAAATGTGCCTCATCATTTGTATTTCTGTCGTAATCACCAAATGTTCACCTTTAATCGGTTCAGAACTTTAGCATTTTCATAAAAGTATTTAAAAATTAAAATGTACGGAATTTCAATGTTGCCTTTTGTTCAGTGTGTCCGTCGCCTTAGTAGAATAACAGAGATTTAATAAGTTTGGAAACGTGATGTTATACTGCGTTCAAGCCTGTCTTGTCCGCTGAACAATGTTAATTGGAACCTCGGAGCGAGTCACTTACCAGACGTTTCCTGGAATGGACGGCAGCAAAATACACTCCAAATAAAATATCACCACGTTATGATAATCGGATGTGATTGTGCTTTATGAGCGCAGCGTGTATGGGCATCACGAAATTGTTAGCTGGAATTTTCCCTTTTAATTATTAGCTGATATGACGCACTTTAAGTTGGACAGATGGAATCTTACGGGGAAAGGCTCGTAAACTATTAGCCGTAGTACTTGGTGGGGGCGTGTGTCAGAGCACTGACATGCCTAGAATACTGGCGTCGAGTATGAAGAAGATTGAACATCAGAAAAAGCAGTTGTGTATCTGTATGAGAGCCGCATAGTTTACAGTGACCTTTGAATAAAATCGAGACCTCCTGCTACAGTTCTTGCCATTCAAGAAACTACACGGGGCAGACTCCTTTAGAAGCCGATAGTCGCTGAGCTATTCAAGAAATTCCTCGCTCTTTACCACAGTGATATCTTATATTTCTGTGTTAAATTTTCCTACGTGAACGTTGGCGATAGCTCACAATTCCGTTCCATCTGACCACATATATAAAATGTGCCTCATCATTTGTATTTCTGTCGTAATCACCAAATGTTCACCTTTAATCGGTTCAGAACTTTAGCATTTTCATAAAAGTATTTAAAAATTAAAATGTACGGAATTTCAATGTTGCCTTTTGTTCAGTGTGTCCGTCGCCTTAGTAGAATAACAGAGATTTAATAAGTTTGGAAACGTGATGTTATACTGCGTTCAAGCCTGTCTTGTCCGCTGAACAATGTTAATTGGAACCTCGGAGCGAGTCACTTACCAGACGTTTCCTGGAATGGACGGCAGCAAAATACACTCCAAATAAAATATCACCACGTTATGTAACACAGGAAAGTCGATATCAGTATACTATTCATCACTAGAAAATTAACACTGCAGACAGTATTAGATAACTGTATCTTCTTCACAACTCTTCTAATTCTTCCACTCCTCACATACCATCGCTTTCTGACACATCACTCGATTTAATTATTAGCTGATATGACGCACTTTAAGTTGGACAGATGGAATCTTACGGGGAAAGGCTCGTAAACTATTAGCCGTAGTACTTGGTGGGGGCGTGTGTCAGAGCACTGACATGCCTAGAATACTGGCGTCGAGTATGAAGAAGATTGAACATCAGAAAAAGCAGTTGTGTATCTGTATGAGAGCCGCATAGTTTACAGTGACCTTTGAATAAAATCGAGACCTCCTGCTACAGTTCTTGCCATTCAAGAAACTACACGGGGCAGACTCCTTTAGAAGCCGATAGTCGCTGAGCTATTCAAGAAATTCCTCGCTCTTTACCACAGTGATATCTTATATTTCTGTGTTAAATTTTCCTACGTGAACGTTGGCGATAGCTCACAATTCCGTTCCATCTGACCACATATATAAAATGTGCCTCATCATTTGTATTTCTGTCGTAATCACCAAATGTTCACCTTTAATCGGTTCAGAACTTTAGCATTTTCATAAAAGTATTTAAAAATTAAAATGTACGGAATTTCAATGTTGCCTTTTGTTCAGTGTGTCCGTCGCCTTAGTAGAATAACAGAGATTTAATAAGTTTGGAAACGTGATGTTATACTGCGTTCAAGCCTGTCTTGTCCGCTGAACAATGTTAATTGGAACCTCGGAGCGAGTCACTTACCAGACGTTTCCTGGAATGGACGGCAGCAAAATACACTCCAAATAAAATATCACCACGTTATGTAACACAGGAAAGTCGATATCAGTATACTATTCATCACTAGAAAATTAACACTGCAGACAGTATTAGATAACTGTATCTTCTTCACAACTCTTCTAATTCTTCCACTCCTCACATACCATCGCTTTCTGACACATCACTCGATTCATCACTACCGCTGCTGATGTTCGCTCCATTATCTTCAATTATAATATGTCCAATAGCGTCTTCGATTATGCCTTCTTGCGTCGAGTATGAAGAAGATTGAACATCAGAAAAAGCAGTTGTGTATCTGTATGAGAGCCGCATAGTTTACAGTGACCTTTGAATAAAATCGAGACCTCCTGCTACAGTTCTTGCCATTCAAGAAACTACACGGGGCAGACTCCTTTAGAAGCCGATAGTCGCTGAGCTATTCAAGAAATTCCTCGCTCTTTACCACAGTGATATCTTATATTTCTGTGTTAAATTTTCCTACGTGAACGTTGGCGATAGCTCACAATTCCGTTCCATCTGACCACATATATAAAATGTGCCTCATCATTTGTATTTCTGTCGTAATCACCAAATGTTCACCTTTAATCGGTTCAGAACTTTAGCATTTTCATAAAAGTATTTAAAAATTAAAATGTACGGAATTTCAATGTTGCCTTTTGTTCAGTGTGTCCGTCGCCTTAGTAGAATAACAGAGATTTAATAAGTTTGGAAACGTGATGTTATACTGCGTTCAAGCCTGTCTTGTCCGCTGAACAATGTTAATTGGAACCTCGGAGCGAGTCACTTACCAGACGTTTCCTGGAATGGACGGCAGCAAAATACACTCCAAATAAAATATCACCACGTTATGTAACACAGGAAAGTCGATATCAGTATACTATTCATCACTAGAAAATTAACACTGCAGACAGTATTAGATAACTGTATCTTCTTCACAACTCTTCTAATTCTTCCACTCCTCACATACCATCGCTTTCTGACACATCACTCGATTCATCACTACCGCTGCTGATGTTCGCTCCATTATCTTCAATTATAATATGTCCAATAGCGTCTTCGATTATGCCTTCTTGCTCATAATAAATTTGTTCTAGTTTCTCCACATGCTGACATACATTATCCCATTCCTCTTACCAAATTTCTTCGAATCTCTAGCGACAAAAATGCTCGACGTCCTTAATTTTAAATGTTGTGTTCTTGCTTGTAACCCATTGTTTTTCATCTGCCCAAATAAGTTCATTGGCGTTTAAATCGGGATGGTAGGGCGGA